ATTTTGATTCTTATAAGAATAAAAGCAGCTTTTGGCCTTAGGCAATTTATATAATCTTTCTAAGCTTCAGAGTTCTCTCTAAAATGGAGATGGTAATGAGGGTCAAATAAGATAACATACATTACGTAGTACAGAATAGTACTCTTTCCTGTCACCCCATCCCAGTTGTGACTTTTGAAGCCAGTTGTTTGCTACAGAAGACAGTTTTATGAATTTAGACATCTAAATAAGATTTAAACTGCTCTTACAATTGAAATTCATTAGTATCTATAAGATATTTGGTAAAACCCTTCCACTTTTTTGTTTGTGGAAATTTAGATAGAGGGTGGAATGGATAGGTAGGGTGAGGGCAGAGAGCAGACATAAAAATCTTTTTATATCTTTTTTTTATTTTCTCAGGGAACTCTTGCAGCAGACAAGAATGAGATTTTGTTTTCTGAATTCAACATCAACTACAATAATGAGCCACTGATGTATAGGAAAGGGACTGTGTTGATATGGCAGAAGGTAATGCTGTTGTGTCCAAATTAAAATGGAGGTCAGAAAGAAGAGAGCCTGTGCCCATCCCAAACTTTGTGTCCCTTACCACATGTATAAAGATGTGACTCCATTGATTAACATGAATTAGATCTTTTTTAAATGAGATACTATACATTATTTTGGATGCTTTTTTTGTCAGTGCTACTAATTTTGTCAGTTTGTTAGTGATCTTTGTTGTCTGGAATTTCTCTTTATAAGCAGAATCACAGATTTTAGAATTAGTTCATTTATTTTCCTGTGTCATAAGCTCTCCAAATCAAACAAAACCCCATAACAGAGTACACTGCAGACAGAAGGATTTTTGCATTCATATAACATTTAAAAAATACTTTCTTCCACACTGGATAATATCATTAAGTGGTCCACCCGTCCCATGACAACTATAATATGAGGCATAGGGAAACATTGTATATGAGCGTTCTACCACTTGGAGAATGTTCTTGAGATTCCCTAGATATTCATACTTTAATATTCTGTACCTTTACCTAAATTCTTAATTTTACCAATATTTTCTCTCTGTGCCAGCTTCGGAGCATAATGATTTCTCTAAATTTATTTCCTTCATTTAGTTGTTTTTTTTTTTTTAATGAATGTTTTCAGGTGTTAAGGGGTACCTTAAGAATTAGTCCTCCCCACTGGCAGCTTCAGCTTATTAGTATTTTAAAACCACATTTGCTCTTTAGCACAGACTTGGATACTTCTTCATGCAGATGAGAGAAGCAAAAAAACAAACAAAAACCTTTAATTCTATATTTATTGTTAATAAGGAACATGGAATTACTCCTTTGTTCCTAAGGCCTTCTTTCAGAATATAGCAACTTTTTAAAAGTTTTTAAACAAATTCATGTATGTTGAGATATGTATTTGTATTATCTACCTGAAAAATGTTTTTCGGAAGTATATAAATCAGCTTCCTGCATATCCCCCTCTACTCTCCCAAACCCAATTAACAGTGTTAATATGTTAACTTTTATCTGTAGGTGGGTGAAGTCACAACAAAAGAAGTCAAGCTGCCAGCAGAAATAGAAGGAAAAAAGATGGCGGTGACTCGGACCAGGATTAAGCCAGTGCCTTTATACTGCGATATTATTGGGGATGCTTTCTGGAAGGAACATCCAGAGATCCTAGATGAAGACAGCTGATCCTTTGCTTTTCAGTCCTGGCATGGTTAACCATGCAAGACCCCTAAGTTTCCTGGCAGCAGGTGGCCCTAGGATCCTTACTACCAAGAACAGTGTGCCAGGAATAACATGACTGACTGGAAAGGGACCAGGAAAAGAAGGGATGTATGGGGGTGGTTATCTTGTTCTGCTTTAAGTAGAACATTTTTTTTGCAGTATTGGAACATGGTTCCTTCTGTAGAAGTGCATTTAAAAAAAAAAATTGTGGTCCTATTTTTATAAAGCAAGAACTACTTTATGCTTTGCAGAATGAATCATTTTTACATTGTGGCATAAATCTTATAAAAACGTGTCCAGCTCTTTCCACCTATGGTATGTGATGAACCCAAACTTTACTCTCAGCCACCTGTTCTTAACTACAGAATCCACTGACCTTTAAAGCCACCTTTCTTACCCGTGTACTTTGACCTGGAGATAAGTAATGGGTTGATGGCTGCAGATGCCTCTGAATTCAGGAATTCCAGGGAGAATGAGCACTTTGTGCCAGTTACCAAGTTGGCACCTTTGGCTGAACAAATGAGTAGTAGTTTGGATGTCTTTATATGAATATTCCATAGATTGATTTTGTGGAGTTGTCAGCATGATCGTCGTCTTGCCAGGGGTATTTCCAAGGCCACTTAACCTCTTTCTAAAAAGAAAAGGAATTATGTGTATATATGAAAGAAAGAAAATGTGTGAGAATGAATGAACAAGAAGGGAGAAGCATTTACTCATTTTCTCTAGATACTTCAGTTTTAAAAGTCCCCTTCCTATTGGATTCCTGAAAAGGATTCTCAGGTAGCCTCTATGTAATCAGAACACTGGCATTTGAATTAGCACTTCCCTTGGGGTCACAAGTGGCAGGTGTCAGAGGACACCTAATGGTTCCAGCTGCAGATGGGTCAGTTCCAGCTGCAGACGGGGGAGGAAGAGCGGAGGACAGCAGCAGTAATTTCGAGAACCACCACTAGCGAGGGGTCGCCCTCAAGTGGGGGTAGGTGGTGAGAGAACTCCCATTGCCTGCTGTCCTGGTTTCATATTTCAGAGGAAAATTATTTGGCTCTAGTAGGAATTAAGAGGCAGTCTACATTTTAGTGCCTGGTCTTGCATCGCAGACTTCACAGCCACGAAGAGAATGTATTTTTGAAGGCAACGGCTGGTCTCATCCTCCGCGAATTGATACTCCATCTGTTGGAATCCTTTTTTCCCTTCATGTACTCACTGCACAGGAAGAAATATGGTGCATGTTTGGTAATTGATAAAAATCTCTGAGAAAATAAAGGTTTCAACTCCCTTGGCCTACGTTTCCACTTATTTTTCTCATACAAATACAGTGTATGAATCCAACTTTTGTATATATGTCTTTACGTAAGCCAGGATAAACATACCTTCATCACCGCGGTGGTTCACAGACTTCTACATACAAAAATTTACTTGGAATGCTTGTTTTACATTGCTCTTCCAGCACGCCCCGATGAAGATTTGAGGTTTGCTCATCTGATTTTTAACCCCAAAGGCCTCTGATGCCTATGGTGGGTGATCTGTGGCACTTTGGGCTGTAAGGCCCTCGGTATCCTGTGATAGGTCAAGTCAGGCAATAAGGTGATGTAGCTCTGGACTGGTGAATGTAACAATGGTACGTGATAAGTGGACATTAAAGTACAAACTTTCAGGACAAAACCACCCAAAGAAATGTGCTTTCTGTGGGTGCTATGTGATACAAAGGCTCAATTTTGTCATAAGATAGAGGGACAAGCATTTGTTGAATGAGCAGCAGTTTACAGCTTTGTTTTTTGTTCTCAGAAGTTTTGAGCAAAGGTATGCGTGTTTCATACTCTTGCCATAACTTAACCTGTAGCGATGGTGTTTCTCTGTTGCCACACCTATTTGTTCCAGCATATATTTCACAGTTGTATGTTAATTTTCATTGTGTTCTCTAAGGTAAAGAATGCATTCTCTTGGGCTTTGCATAGCTTAAAGAAACGTTAAGACATACACAAAAAGAACTAGTATAGAATTAACACTAGTTGATAGTTTGGTAGGGAAGTGGCAATTAGGAAAGTGATTTGTGTGGCTTGTAGGTAACTGGAAACACCTTGGCTGTGCTGGATGAGAGGGTAATACCTGGCCTTCTGTTTAGACTATCACTTTATTTTATTTTTTAAATATTTTGAAAGAGCAAGCATGAGTGGGGGAGGTGTAGAGAGAAAATCCCAAGCAGGCTCTGTGCTAACAGCAGGACTTGGTCTCACTGTGAGATCATGACCTGAGTGGAAATCAAGATTTGACACTTAACCCACTGAGCCACCCAGGCACCCCTAGACTATCATTTAATAGCAAAAAGCAAAAATGTTTTTGCTGAACAGAAGCTATAAAAACTGAAGGTTGCTGGAGGGGTTTTGGGTGGGGGATGGGCTAAATGGGCAAGGGGCATGAAGGAGGACACTTGCTGGGATGAGCACTGGGTGTTATACATAAGTCATGACTCACTAAATTCTATTCCTGAAATCATTACTACACTATATGTTAACCAACTTGGATGTAAATTAAAAGTAATAAAATAAGTACAACTGGGTCTTGGAAATCTTCCATCTTCCTTTCCTCCAAGAGCTGGATCCTGGTTTCCTCCACTTGCCTAAGAGATGCTTAGAAAATCTATGATGTAATGAATTTTCTTTAATACTAAGGTCTCTCAGGTGTTAATGTAAATTACTTTTTGCATAGGGTTTAGGAAATGGAGGACCGGGATCCATCCATCCTTCACAGCTTCGTTGTCCACTTAACCAGTACCAGCTAGGATAAAGCATTTATATGCTCTCTATGCAGTATCTCTTCATTCTTAGGACAATTCTGTGGGTTAGGTACTGTTTCTATTACATTTCAGGTGAGAATGTAAAGACCCAAAGAAGCTAAATAATTTGAGTCCAGGTAGGCTAGCCCCCAGTAAAATTTAGCATGCAAAACGGGACTCTGATTGCCCTCTTCCAGCCTCTTCCCACCAGCTCAAGCTACGAGTATACTACAGTTCCAGAGAGCAGACAAACGCCTAGCGAAGCTTGTTAAAATGCTGGTTCCAGGATCCACCCCCGGGGAATCTGGAGTATTGACAAACATCCTAAGTGATAATGATAGAAATGGGGAAACACTGCCTTCAAGCAGATGAACCTGTTACCCGAGCGCCCAGGCGGAGGCCGGCTGCTCGGCGCCGAGAGCGGACAGATGCTGCCCCCCGGTGGCCGCGCCGGCGCAGTGCAACCCCAAGCCGCGGCTGCGCAGTGCCGCCCTCTGGCGGCCCCGCTCCTTCTTCCCATCGGCCTCGGCTTGCGGGCCTTTCAAACATGGAGGAGCGGGAGCGGGGGGCGAGGTCGGCTCGCGCCGGGAGCCCCGCGCGCCCGCCCAGCCCGCGGCTGGATGTCAGCTCTGACAGCTTCGACCCGCTGCTGGCCCTGTACGCGCCCCGCTTGCCGCCCATACCCTACCCAAACGCGCCCTGCTTCAACAACCTGGCCGAGTACGAGAGCTTCCTCAGGACCGGGGTCCGGGGCGGCGGGCGCGGGCGGGCGCGGGGCGCGGCCGCGGGCTCAGGGGTGCCCGCCGCCTCTGCCGGGCCCTCGGCTAGAACCCGTCGCCGCCTGGACGCCCCGGCCCCGGACCCCGAGCGCATCCAGCGCCTCCGTCGCCTCATGGTGGCCAAGGAGGAAGGGGACGGGGCCGCCGGGGCACGCCGGCGGGGTCCGGGTCGGAGCAGGAAGGCGCCGCGCAACGTGCTCACGCGAATGCCCTGTGAGTCCGGCGGGCGCGGGCGGGCGGGGCGGGACGGGGGGGGGGGGGGGCCGAGGGCCAGGCCCGCTGCCCGGAAGGTGGCGGCCGAGGGGGCGTTTGCAGGGTGCTAGGGGTTTGGTGCGGGTCTGCGCGCCTGAGGGAGAGGGTCTTGATGAAGGTTGCAGAGATCATCCGCGGCCGTGAGGAGGTTCTCCTTGAATAATGTGGGGAAGGGGGGGCGTGGGGAAGGAAGGTCTTCTGGAGTACCGACGGGTGAGGGAGAGCGGTGGGGGCAGAGTGGGAAGGCTGTAGAGGTAACAAGGAGGGGCTCTAACGGGGTCCATGCAAGTGGCTGCAGAGGTGATGCGGGGCCCGCAACGAGGGGCTACGACCACGAGGGTGATGGGCGTCTGGAAAGGTGGTGGGGCCTGGAAAGCGGACATCACCGGGAGGAGCTGCACGCCACAGCCAGAGGGGAGGGGCACAGCCAATTTTAAGGAAAGGAGAGTGGTTAGTGGGACTGGCGATGACGGGATGGAGTGTGAGGAGATCTGTCCCTGCAGTTAGAACAGGGGACATAATTTCATAACGCCTGCACACTAAGTGGCACTCCTCCTGGGGTCGTAGGAGAAGGGCTGTGCGGTCTTGAAACACGTATGTTCGCGTTCCCAAGTCACAAGTGCTGGAATGCAGCAGGCACCAGTGCCACTAAAATACAGACACTGTTTCACCGCCACCCTGCCGGGATGGGTGCAGGACTGGGTCTGTCAGGCTCCTGTTACCATATGCGCAAGTTATTTTAAGTTCTGAAGGTGTGAATGGCACAAGGGAATCTCTTGGAGCCTAATAGATCCTTGGAGATCTGTAAACAGCAAGGCTGCTAATGTGTGAGTTAGGTCTTCCACCAGTGGAATGAAAACAAGCCAGGGTTATGTCTTCTGTCATCTGGCAAGCAGTTCTCACATCTGCCAGGGAAGACAATGACCTAGTTAGCCATTCAAAGCATCTGTATCCTGATAGCTAAATTGTAACATTTTTAAATCACTGGCTTTGGAGTGGAAGGTTGTGTTAAGCGAGTTGTTTCATTCCTAGAAATGTGTTTGTAAAGAGAGAAACATCCTGAAAAGCTGTGTGCTGTTAGCTGGGTCTTGGTCAGATCATTTCCTGTGACAGTGCTAGAGCATTCTTGGCCAAGCCAGGGTGCATCCCAGCCTGCTTCCCCAACGATAACACAAAGACAGAGTGTGCATGTAGCTAAAATAAGAGTAGCTGCGGACCTTGTTTTGCCACTATCAGATCTTTGAAATGCTCTCCAACTCTCAGATTGTAACATTTATTTCCGTTTTGCCAGTTGTGGCTTTGCTACTGATATTGTCAAAGAAAAGACATACTTCTGTATGGCGAGTGGTTTTGGCTTTACCTACGGAGTACTCTGTTATATTAGTATGACAGAGCATGAAAACCAGCTTTGTTGGCTTTCCACAATTAAATATGTGCCTGCAATCAAGATCTCAGAGTGTGCCGTAGGCACTGAAAATTTTTATCACTCCACTGGAAACGGTTGGGTGTACATGATAGAGATGGGTAGACGTGACAAAGAACTGATGAGCTTCAGAAAGCAAGAAAAGTACAGAAGCGTGGGTAAGATTAAGTTTATTCAGACAGAGTTCCTATAAAAGGTTGTCTTCAGGTCTTGAAGTGAATTTAAAGAAGGGCATGGTTAGGGATGACAGTAATTATTTAAAAGTTAGGCTATTGAAGTATAATTTGTATGCGGCAAAATTCACCATTTTAAAGTGAGTTTTGACAAATGTGTAGTCATGAAATCACCATCACAATAAGGATACAGAACAAATCCATCATCCCAAACAGTCCCTTTTTAAGTCAGGAGATAATTTTATTGTTGCTAATTATGGCTACAGTTATTTAGTGGGCGAGTGCTGTGCAGTTTGCGAAGCCCTGTAGATGCTTCGTATCTTACTTTACCCTTAGATACTACTTTTTAAGTGAGGCTTGTTGAGCATCACTGCTTGCCCAAGATTACATAGCTAGTTAGCTTGCAACTCGGTTTGTCCAACTCCAGGGCCTACGTGCCAGGGCCATCATGCTAATCTCAAGTGAGGGAACAGGGGAGTACATTCTCATGTTTCTCTGCTTACTTCTTTTGGTGGGTGGAGAGTACCACATAAGTGAGGCAGACGGTGTGTGTCTAGAACAATGAGAATGGAATCTGGGTCCAGAGAAGGATGTATTAAAACATTTTGAAGACCAAAGGGTTTCTCTCTGACTTTGTTATGATAGATAGTGGGGACCATGGTGTATATTCTTAAGTAAACGGCAATGTTTCTCATAGTTTAATTTCTAGTAGTAAAATGTATTTGGTGGGGGACGGTGTATAGACCACAGATGCAGGGGTTCGACTGCTGGCTTTTTTAGTTTTGAACATGAATACTAGCTCCTCCACTTTCTCGCTGTTTTACGGAGGCAAGTCACTTAAACTCTTTGGGGCCTCAGTTAGCTAATCCATTCAAAGCGTTTACCACAGTAGTACATGGGGAAATTCTCAGTGATTGTTAAATGTCCCTGTGATTGTTGTAGGTTGTTGTGGTGGTTATTATTGTTTTAGGCTGTCATAATTAAAAGCTCCAGGGCAGGATGTATGTATAACCTACCCGAATTGGGTGTTGACTCAGCTGTTTACTACATAAGTAACCTTGAAAAACTAATTCAAATGAACATTTCTGAGCCTCGTTTTTCTCATCTAAAAAGTAGGGCAAAATAATAGTGCCTGCGTGTTAAAGTTGTGAGGATTAAATAACATACATAAAGTTAACCTTACCCCAGGGCCTGGCTCATAGGGAGTGCTCAGTGATTGGTGATGATGATGGCTAGGGAGGATGGGAGTGAGGGGACCTCGGAGGCTGTTGTAGTGAACCAACCGTCCCATAAGACTCTGGGCTGTATTGGTTGTGGGAAAAGAAAGGAAAGGACAGGTCATACTTATTGAGAATCCATTGTCTGAGCCTAGTGTGGCCACAAGTAGGGAGAAGAATAGAGTTTAAAATGACTGGGATTTAGGGGCGCCTGGGTGGCTCAGTCGGTTAAGCGTCCAACTTTGCCTCAAGTCATGATCTCACAGCTTGTGGGTTCGAGCCCCTTGTCGGGCTCTGGGCTGACAGCTCAGAGCCTGGAACCTGCTTCGGATTTTATGTCTCCCTCTGTCTCTCTCTTTGCCTCTCCCTAGCTCTCACTGTCTCTCTCTCAAAAATAAGTAAACATTTAAAAAAAAAAAAAAACTTAAAAAAAATGACTGGGACTTAGAAGGTTGAGGCCTAAGAATAGTAGCAGTGGAGAAGGAGATCTGGAAGAATAACTTCAAAGATAAGGCATATATATCTTTTTGTTGTTGTATTAAATTTTAGAAGCTTGGTTCATATTTGGAGTTTGTTAGAGAGACTGCTGGAAAGAGATTCAGAGTGTGCGTTCCGATTCAGAATTTTTGCCTTGGTAGTTTGCTCTGATAGGTGGTGCTAGTAATGTATTTTTGATCACACAGGAGTGAAGTGCTCCCTGGAATTATACCTTATTAATAAATCTTTGGAAGAAAAATCAAGGGAAGAGTACAGATATGAGAGTTGAAAGACCTGAGTTTGTCATTTGTTTGGCTAGAATAAGAAACTGTTGTTAAGATATGTGCTTGTCTTTTTTCTCTTATGTGGGGGTTCAGGGGTAAAAGTCATACCTGTCTATTTTTTTACAAGTTAGGAAAAGAGTGGTCTTTCCACTGTTTGTGGAAACACATATGGGGACGGGGGAAGCAGTGAATGTGTGTAGGCAAAGAAACTAATCCAGGTTTCTAAAATATTGAATTATAGAGACTTATTCTCAAATGAATCTAGAAGTTAACTAGTCTAACCTCATTTTACAAATGAGGAAAGTCAGACTTGTAGAGAAAAAGTTACTCAAACATTCAAGGAATTTTAAAATATTGCTACAGGTAAGGTAGATGATGAGGCCAGACCAAAACTCTCACATTCCTTTCCAGAGCCTCTGTCTCTGCCACATTGCCTTCAACTGTGCCTTCTTGCTGAATCTTCAATCTGACATAAGCTCCTACTTCTCATTGGCTAGGTCACTTTCTTCAGAGTATTTTCTTTTATTAATTTATCACTGCCATGATGTATAAGCTGACCCATGAGTGAGGGATAAAGAGGTCAGGAGTAACCAGCTTAGTTATCCAAACTGAAGGGCAGGACTCTTGTTCTCTTTCATACTACTAGAAACAAAACAGAGATTTTGTGTTTACTATTGATGGCAAGAATCAATCTCCAAAGAATTATGCCTTGCAAACTTGGGAGGGAAAGACAAAGACTATGTGTGAGTGTGAGTGTAAGTGTGTGATTGGACATGTGGTTTTCTTTTGGGAGGTTTTACATATATCGTATAGCCATCATATTGTGAAGGCTAAGTTAACATGAAGTAATAAAAATAAAATTCATCCCTCTTCACAAGCCCTGAGAAAGAGAATCCATCATCATAAAGGCTGCAATTTATAGTTCCAGCATTCTTCCCATGAATCGTCATTCTCTTTTTACGTGATGCTTATCTGCAATGTCCTACAAGCCTAATGCCCAGCAGGTGCCTTTCTGTCAACAGGCTTGGACTGAAACCAGGTCTCTTCCGTCTAGTGTAAAGATGGTGTCCATTGAAACACTAGTGGCTCCAGAGAGCTTGTCCATGGAGTATCTCAGATGGGGGCCAAAAGTCCATTCTCTCGTTAGAGGACTGCACGTGTTTAAGGGCAGATGTGTTACATGGTTTGTTTCCTTTAAACATATGAACAAGATTTTTAGTTTTTTGAAGAGTCAAGCTGGATATGTGGTTCATGAGAATTATCTTTTAAAAAGTTGTCTTAACCAGGCACAGAACTGAGAAGAATTTTGCTGCTGATGTGTACATTTAATGTGGGGCCCCCCCCAAATGTTTTTAAATAATGGTACATCTTAGAATCAATGACATCATAGAACATGGGATATACAATTAGTGAAACATTCGGGTGACAGCCATATGTATGTTTTATCCTCATCCTGGTGGAATCTTGTCTTACTTCAGTGTGTTGCCCATACTAACCATGCTGCCCATTGGGCCTTCTCATTTCCATAGTGAGGTTGCCACTGCACCATGTTGCCTGGTGTTGCTGGAGATGGTTGGCTGGTCTTGGTTGCTAATTCTGAGAATGAAGGCAGATGTTTACATTATGCTGTCTGCTCTTGTCTTGTTTCAGTGCACGAAGGCAGCCCTCTGGGTGAGCTCCATCGTTGTATCCGGGAGGGGGTGAAGGTGAACGTTCACATTCGCACTTTCAAGGGTCTTCGTGGCGTCTGTACAGGCTTCCTCGTCGCATTTGACAAGTTCTGGAATATGGTAATTAAGCCTTTCTCAAAGGGCTGGAGAGCTCCTAAGGATTAAATCTTTTATATGTCTAAACGACCTGAGTAATTTTATTTAGGAAAACCTATAAAATGACTTCCTAGAAGAACTAGAATTTTTGCATTCTCTTGATCAACAATAAAAAAAGTTCTTTTTACTGCTTCCTTTTCTTTAAGGCATTGGCTTTCAGCCAAGGCAATTAAAAAAAAATTTTTTTAATGCTTATTTATTTTTGAGAGAGAGATAGTGTGAGTGGGGGAGGGGCAGAGAGAGGGGTACAGAGACCTGAAGTGGGCTCTGTGCTGACAGCAGAGAGCCCGACACAGGGCTCAAACCCACAAACCATGAGATCATGACCTGAGCCGAAGTCAGATGCTTAACCGACTGAGCCACCGAGGCGCCCCTCAAGCAGGGCAGTTTTGCCCTTCTTTCCCTCCTAGGGACATTTGGCACTGTCTGGGTACGTGTTTTTAATTGTCACAACCATGGCATGGAGTATTACTGGTATCTAATGGGTAGCATCCAGAGGTGCTGCAGCATATCCTACAATACAAAAAATAGCCCCCCCAGCAGCAAACCATTCTCTGGTCCCAAATGTCATTTGTGCTTAAGGAATAAGGATGTATTTTATCTGTTTAGTAATTCTATGTCAATTTCCTACTAACCATTCTTTCATTCATTTCAAAATATTTATTGATTTTCCACTTTGGCTGGTACTTTAACACAGTGCTAGGTACAGAAATTTTAGAAAGGAACTTTCACTTTATAGCATTTGGGAAGATAGATAAAGATAGAAGGGAAGCAGACATACTAATAAGCAAGGCACTTTGCATGGTGTTTCCTTATGGAGTACATGCGCCCCCACACTCCTAGAGGCTTACTGTCTGTTTACCAGACATTCGTAGGAGGGAAGAGATAGATTATGGCACAATTATACTATGAGACAAGCAATTAAAATAGGAACCACCAGGCTTTTCATATGGTCTTCTACCTCTAACTTTTCTTTTTCCTGTGTTTTATCTTCCTCCATGCATTCTCCTGGATGAGTATAATAGTTGCTGACTATTTATTAAGTACTTCCTATTTGCTGTGCAGTGTACTAAGGATTTATAATATAGTATCTCAGTGAACAAGGTCTGTTACTGTTCCATTTTACAAATGAAGAAATTGAGGCTAGAGATATTGAATGATTGGCCCAGATCACACTGTTAGTAAGTGGAAGTACTAGAACGTTGTCCCAGGTCTTTCTGACTCCTAACACCATCTTTTCAACCACTGTGGAATCAGAAGACCTGGATTTGAATCCTAGCTTTACCACTTGGTAGCTCTGTGACTCTGAGCAAGATGGTTTCTCTGAGGCCACTTTTCTTATCTCTAAAATGTAGGAAAAACTACTTTACTATTATAATTTCACCTTTGAAGGAAAAGTTTTTAAGAGAACATCTTTGATGACCGGCATGATAATAATACCGTCAGCTTATATTTGTAGGGTGAGTCACACTTTTCAAACTGAATTCTCATACCTGAGCTCATTTGGCCCTACATAGCTGTCCTCTGAGGTCCATCTCTCAAAGACAGGAATTCCCCAACAGTTCTGTATGGAACCCTGGTTAATACCTGTTCATTGCTGTCGTAAGACCTAAATCTGATGAGGGAAAAGAAGCAGAATAGTGTTTCTCAAAGTATGATCTAAGGGCATCCTACATCAGAATCATGGAATTTCTGGTTAAAACAGAAAATTCCTTGGCTTCATCCCAGACCTACTAAATCAGAATATCTAGGAAGTGGCCTTGGATTTATATTTTAATAAGCCTCTTAGATACATATGCACACTGAAATTTAAAAACCTCTACCATGCATTTGTAAAGGCCCCTTACCATAGAAGAAACCTATCTTATATGGTGGTAGCAGCTTGGAAATCTTACTCGGAGGGCTCCAGGTATTACCGTTTTCTCCTGCCCAAGAGCTCAGTCACTTGTTAAGTTTAGTTCTGCTAAGTTAGATGTTTATTCTCCTTTTTATTTATTTTTTTAAAACTTATGTTCCACCCGTAGGAGGATTTTTTTTTTTAATTTTTTCTTCTTAATGTTTATTTATTATTGAGAGACAAAGAGAGACAGAGCATGAGCATGGGAGGGGCCACAGAATCTGAAGCAGGCTCCAGGCTCTGAGCTGTCAGCACAGAGCCCAATGCGGGCTTCAAACTCACAAACGGCGAGATCGTGACCTGAGCCAAAGTCGGACGCTCAACCGACTGAGCCACCCAGGCACCCCAATGTTTATTCTCCTTTTTAAAATGTTTTTTCTAGGGGCGCCTGGGTGGCGCAGTCGGTTAAGCGTCCGACTTCAGCCAGGTCACGATCTCGCGGTCTGTGAGTTCGAGCCCCGCGTCAGGCTCTGGGCTGATGGCTCAGAGCCTGGAGCCTGTTTCCGATTCTGTGTCTCCCTCTCTCTCTGCCCCTCCCCCGTTCATGCTCTGTCTCTCTCTGTCCTAAAAATAAATAAACGTTGAAAAAAAAAATTAAAAAAAATAAAAAATAAAAAATAAAATGTTTTTTCTAGAAGCTGTAAAAATAATATTTTTAATTCTGCCTTATCTTTTTTTCCCTTTGGGCTGTTTCTCTAGGCACTTACCGATGTGGATGAGACCTACCGAAAACCTGTTCTAGGCAAAGCGTATGAACGGGATTCTTCATTGACTCTTACTAGGGTAGGCAGTTTACCCTGGCTTCCTGAGTACCCAGCATGCTTTCAATCTTAGACATTGAGATCACTGAGCCCGGTGACCAGGTTTTCTTGGGGAGAGAGCTCAGTTGCTGTCCACTCTGTATGCCCGGACCAGGTTCTTCATTAGTCTCTTCTCACGCATTCAGCTAATCACAAATGAGTCTGTGCTTCTGGCCTGCACGTTATTTGAGCAGCAAGTTACCTCTTATAAGCCTTAAAAGTCTTTCCATTTTATACCAGAAAAAAGCAGGTGCCTTTTCTCTTGACGTATTTATTGATTTACCCGAATTATGGCTAAACACAGAAAAACTCACTGCTTTTTAAAAATTACAAAGTGAGAAGTCCATAAAACCTAATTCATGAGTATGGTGTTTTTTCTGTATATTCAAAGAAGGATGTTGACGGCTAAAGAGAAGGCTGATATTTATCATTACTTTCCTTCTAGCTATTTGATCGCCTAAAACTTCAGGATTCCTCCAAAAAGGACGCAGATTCCAAGTCTGCAGTTGAAGATTCCACTCTGTCCAGATACTCCCAGACATCCACTTGGAAGGTAGCTTCGGTGTGGGGACGAGGAGACACTGACCGGGGCTCACGCAGGCGTTCCCGCTCCGTCCCTTCTTCCCTGCAGGCGTCTGCAAGGGAGGAGTCCAGGTCAGAGATGTCAGGGAGGACTACACGGACAGAAGGGTCAAGTGCAGGAGGTACCTTTTCCAGGGCTACCACCCTTTCCAGGGGTCAGCCCCGTAAGAAAAAGCGAAAGCCCAAAGTGGATTACCAGCAGGTATTCACTCGACACATAAATCAGATTTTCATTCGAGGCGAGAATGTCCTGCTGGTTCATCTTGCACAGTGACCAGCTTGGCATCTCTTGAGCTTTGGTTCTTAGAAATAAAATGCATGAACCGCTGCTATGCTGTATCCTAGTATCCCAGTGAAACTCTGAGTTGGAATGATTCCCTCTGGTCCTGCATGTGCAGAGCATAGAGCCAGGCTTGGGCCCTCTGGAAGATGAGCTCCCTCAAGCGGACACAGGCCTTAGGAAGGTGGGGGTTTGCGTTAATATCAAGGCAAAAGCTGTACAGAGGAAATATGCATCCAGTTTGGTGTCATGGTTGACTTTAGACACTCCAACCAAATATCAGATCTTCCATTTGAATTAGGAGTCATGGTATGAATTAAATTCATCCCACAGGCACAATAAGGATGGGAATAAAAAAACACCTCAAAAAATGCTCTCATTTCTAAAAGCTAGTGCCCTGAGTACTCATGAATTTGATTCTAAGAGTAGTAACATAAATTGCCCTGTAGCCCTGCACCCACAACTTGTAACTGACCTTTGAATTTTGCTCTACACCATTCTCTCTCTTTATCAAGAAATGTAATTTATTACCTTTGAATATCTGCAAAACTAAGAAAGAAAGCCACTAACTTATGTAAACTTTGGATAGTTGGTATGCTTAGAGCAGCCAACAATGAATACTCTGTTGTTATCCCTCTCCTTAGTATGTAAAGGGATAATATGGGAATTCATCAGTCTTCCCCACTTACCAGAGGTAGCTTCTGAGAATGGCATGCCACATGGGACTATAAGATGCTCATGAGGTGGCTTCTTGGCCTTTTCTCTCATTTGTGTGGCATGGTGTAGTGCATGTACCCACTGTATTGCCCTTCTGTATGTAGTGTGAACTGTCCTGTGAGCTTTATGGCAGGAGATTGTGACCTACATATCTGGCTTCAAAGAGTTCTGCATGGACTCAGTAATACATATGCATCACATGGTTGGGAGCTTCCTTTCTGGGGAGGGCTGGCCCATGTAGACTAACTTTCAGAATGGTTTTTCCACGAAGTAGGAGTGATAGTTTTATTTCCTCAAGTCACGCCAACGAGGTTCTCACAAAGTACAGTGGGTGGCATCTATAAGGAACACTTTACTTACTGCCTGGCTTGAGTAATGGGAGCACTGTAGTACTCTCTAATACTTCTACTTGAATCATATTATATGCTTTTTCAATCACCAGTACAGAATAGGCTACATCTTGACGCAGACTGTTAGGCAATATTGATTTTTTGTTTTGTTAGTTTATATTTGGTTTTATTTTATATAACTTACATTCAAAGTGAGAATAAGAAGTAGCTAACTAGTTAAAATGCTTGAAAAAAAAATTCCCTGCTGCATTTTTTGTGTAACTTAGATAAGCCTTCTGAGAAGCAGGGTGAATAATGTTTAGGGAGTTAGGGCACCTGGTCCTTCTGCTAGCTGGGCCACTGGGCCAATGAAAGGAGAGCAGATTTAACTCCTCTGTGCCTCAGTTTTTCCCATCAGACACCTACCTCACCGGGGCACTGAGACAGAGAATTTTAGGAAGGCATTTTAAAGTCTCTAAACATGTTTAAGTGCCATGAGTAATTTTTACTAACTATATTTCATAGCTCGATAAGAGTTCTATGTCTTATGAGCAAGGTAGGTGCTACATAAGAAAGTCATCTCTGTGGCTGTTGTAATTTTGAACTTGTCATCAGAAGGCAGTGATATCTTCAGGAACTATTTTCCATATTCCATTCCTTCCTCCTAAAGGACAATGGAAATTCTCAGAAGAATATCCTCAGTAAAAGAAGAGTAACGTTTCTTTGCTGCTTCCCCCACAAATGCCAGCCCCAATCCTTTTCTGATCATCAGAAAAAATTCCCCTGAACTTTTCAAGAGGTTTATGTGATAGTACCAAAGGGAGATGCACATCTAAAAATGACACATCCCCAAAGGGGAATCTGTGGAAGATGCTTCGTTTCGTTTACTTGTTTTTATTTTAAGATGCATTTTAAATATACTCTTTAGAGCCAGATCAGATGCAGTAAGCATTTAGAGAGGTTCCATGTTATAAAGTCAAGCAATTGTCTTTGGAATCTGCTAATCTAAATTATCTTCTAAATAGTATGTCTAATAAAATCTCAGTTCCCCAATTAATAGTTATCTTGTTTAATCATCAGACACCCCTGCCTCTGCATCTTTACCAGTCTCTCCTGTTAGATGTCCTCATCTGTCTACCCTTCTGTCCTCAGCTAGAAGCTGCAATAGATACCAGGTTTTCCCAGTAAAGTAAAAGTTTGGTATCAAAAGGAATATATCACTTTGCATTCATTCTAGTGCCTGACTAAATCTAACGTGATTTGTTTTAAACACATGCTGAGTTTTCATGTTTGTATATAATTTTCATATATCCAGATAAGGATTGGTTTACTGCTTTTCTGTCCAATATAATAATTCTGGCTCTGAAAATAATCTTAAATCCATGTGATCAGTCTAATGTGCCCATTGGCCCCCATTTATCGGTTCAGTTTTGGACAGTGATTCACATTTAGTAAATGTGCTGTATTGTATAAAGCATGCCAGTGTTTTATAGGGAAGTCATTTTTTTTTAATTACTGCCTTTTCTTTATTATTGTAGAAATATTTCAAAAGGAAAAAAAAATTGGTCCTAAGAATGTGTGTGCTGCTCAAAATATGTCATCATCTAGGACATTATAATAAGTTGCTATGAAAATAACTGAAGTCTTCCTCAGGACAAAGAAAGAAAAAGAGAAAGTAACAGCCAGAATGGTAGAGTTCTGGAGGCCCCCATGAGCTTACCTGAGGGGTCCCTATGTTGCAGAAATGCAGCAAAATCTGGTTTCTAGTATTCTCCAGGGATTTGGGCTTAGGACAGTTGGTAGGAATAGTACTTATTTTTGAACATCCAACTTATGTTCTTCAAAGTAATCTCTAGACATGGGAATCCGTTCCGAAGACAGTTCATGGGACACACCTCTTCTCCAGAGCACCAGATTTGTTAGATAACAAGGCATCAAGCAATGGAACATGGGTTTCACACCCAGAACGATTTCATGTGCTGTTCTTCATACATAGAGGTGATTCTGTGATTCTACAACCAGGAGAATGTGCATTTTAGGTTGTTGGTGCTAGTACTTGGGAAGCGTTTATGCTTCATTTCAGAGACTATCTTATGATGGTGGGTCATTTGTGTGATGGTTAGCCAGTGTTAGCAGTGTCTAAGACAGATGGCTTTAGACCATTTGGTACCTTGCTGTCTGTGCATGGTGCATATCAAGTTAGAAAGCCTAGAAACCATTAGCATTAAAGTCTAGGTGCATCAGAATCCTTGGTTTGAGCTGTTACTGGATCAGAAGGGACTTGTTTATCCTTGTGGTAAAAAGTCCAGGAGTACCTTAAGAGGTTGTGAAGACATGAACTATGGGCTCTCTTTACTCCTCAGAAGCCTCACAGAAATCTAGTTATACCACTTTACCCCTTGAGAGAAAAACAGAAACCTAACTTGATGCAGAGGAGTTTTTTGGATTTCTTTTTGCACTATCCTCATAGCTGCTGACATGGGCAAAATCATGAAATAGAATTGATTCTGTAAATTTTCTCTAATTTTTGCCTTTAGGAATAATTAAAATTATTCAAAGACAGCTGTCTGTCACTGGTGCTGCCCCAAAACTTTCCCATCTTTTATGTATTTTTTATGAATGAAATAGTCGCTGTGGGAAGTCCAAGGTTCACGTAAGAGTATCATGGCATAAATATAATGGTTTAGCAACTGTTTTGATTTTTTTTTTCCTGTGCCAGATATAGAATACAGTCAATCCCTTTCCAGTAGCTTCTGTTCATCAGCCTATGTTTTCCTGGGCAGTAACTCCCAGAAGGCTTTTCTTAGTGATTATAAAGGAAGAAAATCTTATCTGGGCTTATGTTGCAAAGGTGGGTGGTCTGTCACTACTTTCTGGCAAATTGAGTTGATGGATTTTATATAAGCCTTTGGGATGCCTGTCACAGTTTCCTGGGCTCTGAGGAAGGGTTGCGCCTTTTTTACTTTCAGTGTTTTGAGTATTTTTCAAATGTTTGTAAGTTCTCTTGTGCCCCTCTAATAAAAATGAAAGCTATCTGTCAAGGAATGGCTTTGCATGGTTCAGAGATCTAGGGGAAAAGAAATAAGTACACCTGAGACCTTCAGTTGGTCTTTTATTTATTTAGAATAAAAAGTAGTTTGATAAGCTACCAGAGTTAGTGTTGCTTTAAAAACACTCTCTGAAAAGATGGCAACTGTCCCTCAGGAAAGCTATAAAAGCTATTCCCAATACATTGCAATTGCTTTTGATTTTTACTCCTTTGGAGCAAATGTCTGATGTTATATCTGATGTTATGTTTTTAGAGCTGTGGGGGAAAAATGTCTAAACAATTTTAGGGTGTATTATTTAAATGATTATCTGGCTAATTATGTGTGAGCTAGGTTCTAGGGCAGCTGTCCAGTTCTTTTTCTGTTGTCCTGACACTAACACAGATAGCAAGCGATGTCTTGAAAAGTGATCTGCTTATTTCATACTGACATCTAAAGACATTAGCCTTCTGTTTGGCAACCCTGGGGATACCCCTCTGCACCGTGACTTATTAATGGTTTTTTAGGCAAGGCTAAACCTGGTGACCCTCTGTATTTATAGTTTCACTATTCATATATAAGCTGCTAAAAGAAAAACCATAACTTCTCATCTTGTCTTGAAATTACTCTTAATTGTGAAGTTCACCTAAATTCTTCATGTTTATGGAGGATTGCTGCTAGTAACGTCAGTTTGCAGTGTTCTGCTGTAGGTATGTGTCACATGGGAGTCTGGAAACTGTAATAAATATGATTGTGTTAATGTACTGACTGCTTTGTTTCTGCTGATTTTGAGGGGCGGTGGAGGGGAGGAGGCAGGGGAGTCTATTACCAGGTGACGATACTGACCTAGAAAGTGAAAGCATCCCAAGCCATCTCATTGTTATAACCTTGTGCCTTTTCTTCACCAAAGCACACATATCTACATCAACTATCCTTGAGGTGGCTTTGGTCTTCCATGTTTATTAGAAGTTTATGCTTAGAGGGGCGCCTGGGTGGCGCAGTCGGTTAAGCGTCCAACTTCAGCCAGGTCACGATCTTGCGGTCCGTGAGTTCGAGCCCCGCGTCAGGCTCTGGGCTAATGGCTCAGAGCCTGGAGCCTGTTTCTGATTCTCTGTCTCCCTCTCTCTCTGACCCTCCCCCGTTCATGCTCTGTCTCACCCTGTCCCAAAAATAAATAAACGTTGAAAAAAAAAATTAAAAAAAAAAAAAGAAGTTTATGCTTAGAAAAGAAACTTGGCCCACATTGTGAATTGTCTCTTCTAAGCCCCAAGCACTGGTAATTTCCCTGTGAATTTATTCTACCTAATAGCTCACTGGCATTACCCCCTCTCTTCATGATCTGCTGAGATCACCCCTCACTCTGCTCCCTTGGGTTTTACAACATTTGATTAATTGATCCTTACATGGTTCCAGAAATATTTGAATTTGCCACCAGCTTCCCTCTGTGCATGTACAGGAAGTTGAACTGCCCAAAGATTTGTGACATTGATTACTTGAGCTCTGTTTGCTTCAGAACTGAGTCTCCTGTAAGAGAGACAGACAAAAAATCACACGGATGCTTACAGAGGGAAACCTCAAGTTAACTGTTAAGACCCGATTCCCCACTTTCAAAGAATATATTGAGCTGGGTTTAGCCAACATGCAAGAAATTTCTAACCACTTCAGTGGTGGAAAAGGTGAACTATGCTCCAGTTCAACCCCTTGCTTATTTGTTTTGTATCTCAGAGACTGCTGATTAAGCAATAATATCATCATTAATCAAAATAAAGGCAGAGGAGTCAGCTGGTCTGTACATTTAAAATGTACAGTGACTGTTACATATTAGCAGGGGGATGGAGGCCAGTGGAATGAGATATATCTATTATCTTTCCCTAAGCTTCCCGGATTCTAGTGGCAAGGACAAAAAAGTTTATTGCCCAACCACATTCTTCTCTGAGCAGAAGTGAAGCACTTTTCAGTCTGTTCAGTTGCCACTAGGTGGCAGTGGGTTAAAGAGAACTGCTTAACCAGAGGCCCTAGAAGGACTTGAGTCTCCGGATCTCCAGTCACTGCTACAATTCATTGTTAAATGCTCCAGTCTGAACAGAGATAATCAAGGAGAAACAAGCTATGATCAACCCAAGTGGCAATATAAACGTTTCTTCCCAATATCGAATGTGCCTAATTTGAAGCCTAGACAACCTGACTGATGGCAACCAGCCAGTGAATGTGCTTGGAGAGGAGTAGCAAACGGAGACATTGCCCAGCGTCCACTGTTTCAGGGACTCTATCACTGTTCTCACGTCATGGGTTTCCTTGTTTCTTCTCAGAGTGTGGTCAACCCCACCCAGACTCTTCCCAGCTGCTGGCTAAGGATTACCCCAGGGAAACTGTCTTGAGGCCCCTATTTCTCAGCACTTGTCTCACTTTTGGAAACAATTCTGTTCTACCCAGTGTTGATGCCTGAGAGCCCGCTTGTAAGAAAGGTTGCAGCTGTCTCGTGATTCCATGACCAGAATTGAGTCTCCATCCCAAGACCAAGCAAATTTGCTCCTGAGTCAAAGGAAAATTTATAATAAACACAGAAAAGTCTGTTGTTATAGGCTGGACTCTGGGGGCAGATGGGGTGGGTGGGCAGTGGTAGTCAGTCAAGGCCTTCCAAAGACCTTCTCCCCTCTACCTCAAGAAATAGTTTCTCAGCAGCCTATAGTGAAGAGGAATACAGAATGTGAAATAATAAATAGATAAGTCCTCCAAATGAATAACTACAGATAAGATTATAATAAAAAGCTTTATCTCATGCCTTTTTGCACTATGGCAACTTGCACCACATTTCACTCAGTCATGCTATGTGAAGGGGCAGAGGACAGGTCAGGCAATAAAGAAATACTGTCATTTTTTAAGCATTTCAGCCCTGTACTAAACATACATGCAATACTTTATTCGAATACAACCACCATGAGCGAAAGATTGTATCCCTCTTCCGTATGTGAGGGAACTAAAAGTAACTTGCCAATATCTCTCTGCTAATCAATGGCAAATTTGGGAAATTATCTAGATCTGACTGACTCTCAAGTTTATTATTAGCCAGTTATACCTCAAAAATACTAAATTTCTCAGGCATTGACCAGGAAACTGACCAGAAACCAGAGAGCTGAGTTAAAATGTGGTTTGGTTATCTGCTTCAGGCATCTCTAGTGCCTTCTGATTCATACAGTTCTTTAGCTGGAAGTGGACGTGCGCACAGGGTTTCATGGCTTCCAAAGAAGATAAAGGTGGTGAGCCCCCCAGGGCAGTAGGTCCACTGTGGCTCTGGGAATAGTGGCTGTCAAGTGAGCTCCAGGAAGTATTTCATCGACTAGTACGCTTGGCCCTGGAAGGGTTATTGATCCAATAGTCTTGTTAAAAAACGGAAGGAGTGACTTAGTGGTCTTTCCCAGCTCTCCAGTATGCATTAGAACATCTGCTGTCCCTATCCTTCCAATTGTCTCCAACACTTGGGAAGAATGCTTTCTCTGGCCTTGACCGTAAATGCATCTTATTAAAGGAACTCTTGTCAAGGCTAAACTATGGATGTGCTAAAGCCACAGAAAAATAAAGATTACTTAAAGGCTTATAGTCTTTCTCCAGAGACCTGAAAAGGGGCACAAGCAGAAAGGTTTGGCAGGCTGTCTGTCCATCTTTTAGAATTTCCTTTCAACTTGATAATGTGTTAATTTCCAGAATATAGCCAATCCTCGGAGGAGCTTGCTGTCCTAGGCTCTTATTTATACTAGTTACTTCTGAGCCTCAATTTCCTGATCTCTAAGTAGGAATGATACCACCCACCTCATAGCGTTGGTGACAGAAAATGCTTGGCCTGGACAGTAAGCACTTAATGTCATTTGCACTGTGATGAGCTTGCTATGTGATTCCCAGCAGCATTCTTCATTTTCCTGTGCTTGCTTTCTATGTCCTGAGACCTGGCCTAGAAAACAAATGCGCAGAGCAGAATGGTGTTGTCATTCTTTTTTCTAGCATACAGGTGTGTGAAATACTATTCTCCCTGAGTTCTCTGTGCTCTCTTATTTGGCTTTCCCTGGGTTAAAACTTCAGAATATCATCAACTTCTCCACTGCTGGGAGAGCTGTGTGCTCCCCCAGGAATGACATTAGGCTCCACGGGACATTCATTAGTTGGGGTTACGAGAGGACCACAGGGCACTGGAATGGTAATTTCCTACATGGGACCCCAGTGACCCAGAGCGAGCTAGCTCAGCTGGTCTGAGCATGTAGCTAATGAGGGAAGGGTCATGGTTTCACTCCTGTGTGGGCCAATTAGTGTCACGTGGAAAAGCACGCTCCTGGGGCATCAGGCAGCAGCCTTACCTGTGTGTGTGGCACTGGTCACCAGGATGGCTCAGTGTGGCCATCATCACTATCAGAAACTCAACCCAAAGCTTACATCCTCTTTCTTTTTATTAGATAGCCCATTGTTTCCAAAATGTGAGTCATTTGGAGAGCACTTTCATGATTTTTGCCTTATCCTAGGCAGACTACTGCTTATTGATTCAATATTTTTCTATAAATTGACTCACTTTTTAGCTTACACTTATCACTACCATCAATGGCAAGTTGGAATATTTGCCCTAAATTGAAAGTACACATTGAAAGAAATATACAACTATTGAAATTAAAATGTTTGTCTTCAGGGGCGCCTGGGTGGCTCAGTCAGTGTCCAACTTAGACTCAGGTCATGATCTCGCGGTTCGTGATTTCGAGCCCCACCTTGGGCTTTATGCTGACAGCTCGGAGCCTGGAGCCTACTTAGGATTCTGTGTCTCTCTCTCTCTCTCTCTCTCTCTCTCTCTCTGCTTCTCCCTGCTCCTCCCTGCTCACACACTCTCTTTCTCAAAAATAAACATTAAAAAAAATTTTTTTTAAATGTTAGTCTTCATACTATCTGCAAAAACCTCCTGAGCCACAAGTGATCAAGTGTGTTAGTAAATGTTGCACTCTATAAGCTTTGTGTGTTTTATAATATACCCACTGTTCTGTAATAAAATGGTCACATCAGCAAAAACAATATTATATAAAGCAATTGCTTCAGTGGAAAGAGTTGGAATCAGTGACTGGGGAGTTTCACACTTGAAGTGATGAAATTATTCTTGCAGGAATTTCAACACCAAGGGTCTTTCTAAATGCCATAAATATATAGCTATAAAACCTCAACTCTGAACAAATCCAGGGTTTAATTTACATCTAGCCTTTGCTCAAAGTCATGGCTTTTGTTCGCACTCTCTACTGGCACTATCATTAACACTGTGCTTCTTACACATCCTTATCATTATCTCCTGTTTTATGATAAACAAAGCCCAAACATGCAAAGCAGATGTGTTGACTGCACAACATCTTTGTTCCCCTCCAGTCATGAGCCAGTTCACACTAATCTGCCTGGTTGGCCAGTCCCTTACAGAGATCAAATTATAACCAATAGTGGTGTTGGTAATAAAAATGTATTCCCTAATTAATTGAGCATGTTACATCTAATCCAGTTATGAAAATGTGCACTGGAGGACAAATACACATAAAAAGATACACACACACACACACAGGACTCTTCAAGTTTGAGAGCGGGCCTGGCCACTTCCATTATTTGAGGCTCCCAGTACATTTAAAAAAATGAAGAAATGTCAAAGCAAAGTTGTAAACTTTGTGATATATTTTTAAAGTTCTAGTTGAATGATAGACACCTTGATCAATCCTCTTTGCGTATCTGTGAGTGGCTGTGAAGCCTCATTTGGAAA